TTTTGTATTTTTAGTAGAGACAGGGTTTCACCATGTTGACCAGGATGGTCTCGATCTCTTGACCTCGTGATCCACCCGCCTCGGCCTCCCAAAGTGCTGGGATTACAGGCGTGAGCCACCGCGCCCGGCCAAAAACAATTAATTTTTGTATGTTAACCGTGGATCCTGCAACCCTGCTGTACTCACTTATTGTCTTTAGGAATTTTTTTTTTTTTTTTCTGAGACAGAGTCTCGCTCTGTCGCCCAGGCTAGAATGCAGTGGTGCAGTCTCGGCTCACTGCAACCTCCGTCCCTGGGTTCAAGTAATTCTCTCCCTCAGCCTCCCGCATAGCTGGGATTACAGGTGCGTGCCACCACACCCAGCTACCTTTTTGGTATTTTTAGCAGAGACGGGGTTTTATCATATTGGCCTAGCTGGTCTCCTGACCTTGTGATCCGCCCACCTTGAACTCCCACAGTGCTGGGATTACAGGCATAACCACTGCACCCTGCCTTTTTTAAATTTTATTTTATTTTATTTTATAATTCTTTGGAATTTTCTACATAGAGTCAGGACATCTGCAGATAAAAAGTTGTCTTTATTCCCTTCCAATCAGTATATCCTTTAATTTTCTTTGTTCTATTATTGTACTAGCTAAGACTTCCAGTACAATGTTCAATAGGAGTGGTGAGAGAGGACGTCCTTACCTTGTTCCCAGTCTTAGGGGAAGAGTGTCTAGTTTCTGACTATTAAGTATGATGTTAGTTGTAGGTATTTGGTAGATCTTCTTTATCAAATTGAGGACGTTTATCTCTCTTCCTAGGTTGCTAAGAGTTTTTATCATGAAGAGGTGGTGTACAAACAACATTTTAACAAAAATAAAAGAAAAATATAGAAATCCTACTGCCTTAATAAATCACGTGGTTTTCTGTATTTTCAATTTTTTCTATTTAAAATAAATATACTCAAAAGTGACATATCTAACAGGGAGCAATTATACAATTATAATTAGGTACCCATAGGTAGACATAATATTACATATTTGGTAATTAGAATGTAGGTTTAATTTGACAATTACTTTTTCACTTAAAGTTATATCACAGGCCATTTCTTAATGTTCCTGCACAGACTTCAAAATCAGTTTTTGGTGTCTCCAAATTCACTTTCCATAATTCATTAACTAATTCTTTTGAAAGCATTTTTTGCACATCCAAAACACACAAGTCCTAACAATAGAGATTTTAAAAAGGACAAAGGACAAAGCTGGTTTCTCACAATTGTGGAAACAAATGCATGATAATAAAGTATGTTTATGTTATCTTTGTAGAAATATGAACAGAGTTTTGGGAGCTTGGAAGATGAATGGGGGAATCTAACTCTCTGGAGAAATTAGAAAAGTCTTCCTGAAGGAAGTGACATTTGATGTGACTCTTGAAGGAGAGGAAATTTTCCATGTGAATAAATAGTAATATGTACAAAAGTTTAAAGTTGTGCAAGAGCCTAAAATGTTCTGGGAAAAATTTAATAACTTAGAAATTTGAGATTAAATGAGGAGAACATTGGATTAAGATTAAAAGATACGGGCCGGGCGCGGTGGCTCAAGCCTGTAATCCCAGCACTTTGGGAGGCCGAGGCGGGTGGATCACGAGGTCAAGAGATCGAGACCATCCTTGGCCAACATGGTGAAACCCCGTCTCTACTAAAAATACAAAAAATTAGCTG